CACTCAGCCTAATATGGCATCTTCAGTAACAAGTCTCCATGGTACATATTTAACTGGTTTTATTTCATAGTCCTGCTATTATCGCTCCTCCATTTTCACATCTTTATTTTTCTGCTTATGCTCCTTCTATTCTCTTGCCTTTTAGCTGTACACAGAAATAGTCATCCAAATTCTGTGAATCCAACTATAGCACAGGACCCATCTTACTTACTGTTGCACAATATCACAATATGAAGTGATTGCCCTCCGTGATGCCAACACAACAAGAACCAAATTCAACAATGCTCTACTTAGTCTTCTTTGTACATCTTGCAAGCTTTTAGGCTGCTCATAGTCACCACTCACATGCTGCAACTGCACCTGAAATTCAGCATTAATACACAGTGGGGTACTTCTATCAGGTGTTTAACTTCTTCCAACTACAGTTCTCAAAACTTGTTTCCATTTGGTGAGATCTGTGTTGAAAAGCATGCAAAGGGGCAACTAACAAACAGTCTAAGAAAAGAAAAATACTGAAAAAGAAAAAGGTGCAAAGATTTGCAGCTAGATTTCTCAGCTGCTGTACTTTCCTGATGTCGAAAGTACAGCTAGCACATGGTGTCTGACCAACAACAGCTGCTCCTGGATCTATACGCATGGCAGACATATTTTCAGGTGTGTCTTACTCTATCGGTCTTTGCCCGTCCACTGTATGTCTAAACTTGAATATATCACTTATTTGCAAAATGAAAAATAGAAGTGGTCTTCACTAAATGATACCTAGTTCATTTCCTAATTTACTGATGTTTAACAAGTTACGATGATGAAAAGGCAAAGTCATACACTGTCTTGCTCTTAATCTTTCAGAATTTTTTTGATGAGTGGTTTCTGAATACTTCAGAACTGACAAATGAACACTATAACCCAGTCTGGAAAGAGCAGCTCTTTAAGTGGCATTCCAGTGTACCTGCTCTTGGCTCTTGAATATAAAATATGGCAAAAAATCTTTCAATTAAGGAGGTGAAACTAACCAACTGCATTTACAGACGATTTTCAATGGGATGCAAACCTACATGTCTCTCCAAACTGAAAGATGATAATTCTATTCAGAACCTAGTTCTCGCACTACTACTTAGGCTACTGGGGTATTCTTAAATACGGCAGTGATAGCTCTTCATGTTAATGTATAACCTTTTTTCTTCTTTCTTCCCCCGTCCCAAACAACTTCCAGTAATAAGAAAAATAGTGCATTAAATTCTGTGCTTCCAAACATGAAATTTTACCTCACAATGCAGGAAGAAATCCTGGTCTTTTCTTTGCACATAGAAATGGGGTTTGAATATCTAGTTACGATTACATATGAACGCAAGGAACTGGTGCAGAAGCCTCAGCATTCCTGAGGGACTATCCTTGCCACAGTAAACTTGCCTCTAAGATTTACAAATATCGGTAACAATCTTCATACTAAACCAATCAACAAGCAGGCTTTGGTTTCACAGTACTGGCTGTTTAGGCATGAAAAAGCAAGCCGTTTTGTTTACAAGACAGACAAACTCAACTCCATTACACTCAATTGCAGCTGAAGGTACATGAAGTCTTCCTAGACATTAAGATCCATTAGCCAAGCCCTCTCCATGATGTATTTAAATAAAACCCCTTTTTAAAAGGACATAACTCCATTAATGACAGCTCTACACTGTCTAGGACTGCAATACTATTTGACCCCATGTAGTGCTACTGGTTCTACTAAAACAGAATAACAGGGATGAATAAGAAGGCAGAGATTACCAGCCCCTATAATGTAATGATTTTATGTTTATCTTCTACCTATGATTACACTCTACAGGACAAAGATTTCTGCCAGTGCTACTATTTATTTATGTTATCTCACTGTGAACACCATTGGAGTAAAATCATTGGACAGACCCAGATATATCACAACAGAACTTCTAATCTATACTTGCAGAAAGCTGTGCTCCTGAGGAACTGTGCTACTGTGTGCTGATAAGAAATCTGTTGTGGAACTACTGCAGCTACTTTATGCCTCTTGTAAGTGCTAATCAATTGCTTCTATGCTTGTAGTGGGAAACAAGAGGGATTCATAGTAAAGGATGATTTTACTCAGTTTTGAATATATGCATTTGCACTGAACTTTCTCTCCTGCAGCAGGAACAATCAATGTCTCTCCCCTCTCATATACACATAATTTTTAGGTGCAACGCACACTTGCCACAGCTAGAGAAGGAATGTTAGGTGTAGCACACAGGGGCTTCTAGAAGAGTGGAAGTTTATTTTTAGTGCTCCTGTCTTTCCTATTTATAGCAACCAAATGTGTGCTTTTCAGGCGCATCACCGGGTCACTATAGTATAAAGGTAAGACTGTAGACTAACTGAGGCTTGAGGGTATTTTAAATAATGCAGATATTCAGCTTAAGTGTTATTTTTATAATTTATTGAATTTCTGAATTTCAAACATTTGCACAGAAGAACAAGACTATTACACTTGTACTATGTACTTTTAAGATTTGATGCTATTCATTGTAACCCAGTATGTAAACTTTTAGCTATGATTCTGTGATTCTACAATTAATTATCCCTGTGTGACTAATTTAGCATATTTTTTTAACTATATAATCAGGTTACGTACACATGAATTGTACGTAATAATGTCATAAATTCTTCTGAAACCTTCTGAAATCCTCAAGTAAACATGACAACACCACAAAATGCGTTTAATCTCTTTACAGCATTTATTTCACAAATACCCTCAGGTAGATTTCTTAATCCAGTTAGTATGAGGCATCTGTTCATACAGATAAACAGTATGTCACGCAAAGGAAAATAATCTATAAAGTCTCAACTCCTGGTCAACGGTCATTTTTCTTTTTTTTTTTTTTTTAATGTAGTTTCTATTCTAAATGATAGGTGTTTTTCTCTAGCAGAATTTGGGTTATTTTGGCCAATTACCATTGTTTCTTAAATACACAGTTGAGCATCTAACATGGAAAGGCAGTCCTTTTAGAAAATATTACTGCTTTGTTAGTCTCAGTGGAAGTCAATGAGGATGCCAGAAGCTATCCACACAGAACTGTTGTTGGACTGAAGCCTTGATGAATGGCTTCATGTTATGGCGTATGAGCTGTTATGTCCATTATTAAAGCACTGAAGAATCTTGTGCTGTCAGTACTTCTGTATGTTAAGCTTGTTTGTCATATTATGTAGTTTCTTCAAAACTAGATTTATTTTCACAAGTCGTAGAGACAGAATAAAAGACTACTTCATATCTTTTCCCCACACGCAATTGTCCCATCCAGAGACCTTCAGCCTCACTTGAATGAAGCTGTGCCTAAGGAGTGTTCACATAGTTCAGAATTACAATTTAACATTTCCTTCTTTTAAAATTTCAGAAAGTATTATTTTTAGGTTACCTTGAGGCAAAACAAAATTACAACCAAATCTATATGCTACATTCAAGTGATAACCTAAACATCCTGTAGTACTCTTAGGAGCCTGATACTGGGAAAAGCTCTGTTCCAGAGAGATGCAAAGAGGTCTCTTTCAAAAAAATGTTATGTGAGGTAGAACCCAATCATTCTGCAACTTCCAGGATTAAAAATACTGGAAGTTGCAGTTGCCAAATACTGGAAACATGCTGTAAAGGCGATAGAGTAGGCAAGGTTGCTTTGGTCCTGAAGCAGATGGATGACATGCACATTTTAAGAGGTCATTAGGGAAGATGACTCTTAGTGCTAAGAATTAGGTAGTAAAATGGATGAAAGAGCAAATTTGAGAGACTGTGTTTAAGTCGCTTCATTTTCAAGAAAGAAATGCTGCAGGCCTGAAAAGAAATTAACAGAAGCAATAAAGTAATCTTCTATTCTGTGGTGCACAAGACCAGAGAGACACGTTGTCTTACTGCCACTAGTGTGCACAATTAATTTCAGATTAAACGCACTACTGCTTCCCTTTATTCTAAGAGCTACCTTGGGAATGGCAAAGGGATAGGGATACTTGAGAAGACTTTCCACAGGAAAGGGGCAGGAAAGAGGATTTTACTAAGACTTAAATGACTTTCTTTAGCTTTTGGGATTAGAATGTCACAACTACCACTACCAAGTTTGAGTTCTTGGTAACAGCCACTAGTTTCAAGAATCCATGACCATTTTACCATCACAGAGGTAGGATGTGCTTACCTTTCTATTCCACCCTCATGCTGGTGTTTTGACATTTAATTTCTGTAATTTTCATGTTTTCTTTTTATTCTTAAAGAGCAGCAAGCAAGTTTTTGCAATGGGATAAAAACCTATGCTGGAATATAGCCCTCTGTAGACATACTTGTGCACTGCACCACCCTGCAAGCACTCCTGCTAGTAGGGAAGCTTGAACCATCTCTGTCTATCCAGCAACACAGCCTATTCTCAGTCCTTGCACTTTCCACCTCAGATTCTTACTACACGCATGTTCATGTCTTCCCTTGGCTGAGAAACATACATACCTCCTAATCCCTTAGTTTGTAGACTAACTGAATGCAGTTCCTCTGAGTGCCAGACACATGCTCAATCTGTCTATCTACACTGCTTAGTAATCATTAAACATTACCAATCACCTTTGTTGAGAGGACAAGGATGATTATTTGTCATTGGAACAGGTCTGCACCTACCCAAAGAATTAAGGTAACAGAGGGGATTAGGTCATTTATATACCTCACAAGAATGCACAGAAAGACAGTCTTTGTCCTGCTGATCTGCTTACATTTTACAGTCTTTGGTTTGTACAAAAGCAACAGATAACTTGAGATTTTAATGCACTGACGTGTAAGAATGGAACTCTGACCTCCAGCAATCCCATCCTATGCGCTAAGCAGAACAGTACTTATTCTATCCTGCAAAATGCACAAATCTCAGAAAGACTGCAGTTCTATTCTTGTATTTTGATTATGTAAAATCAAAACCTAATGCTAGATGAGGATACATAAACCAGATCAAACCTCAGATAAGAAGCAGCTTCAAAGGTCAGAGACGTACTAGCCTGAAATCAGCACAATTTTTGGATCAGCGTTAGTTAATTAATAATCTTACACATTATTTAAACTCAAATCCTTAGTGAGTGCTGCATATATATCCAAGTTTTCAGAGCAGTAAAAATGATAACACACTACTGAGCTCAAGATCCCGTAACTCCCTATTATTCCCTTGAGGAATATTTAGCTAATAATTATCCTTTATGTAAATAGTGCAATGCCTAACTGAAGACTTTCATTCATTCCAACGTTCAAAAACAGAGCTGAACATTCCTGTCAAAAAGCTATCCAGGTAAGAGATTTGTGCCCCCTCCCACACTTCTGAACTCAGGTTTTATTTGTTCTTTGTTTTCAGAGGTGCAAAACTGCCTCTTTGCAGTTATTTTACACACTGTTGTTGTTTTTTAAGTGCTTTCATTATTCTGTTCTTCATAAATATTGCTTATAAAGGTAGATACTGAGCAAAGGTTTGTAAAACATGTAGTCAGCAGCAACTGGTATGGAAGTAATCTTTCTTGAAAACCCTGGTCTGAGAGCTCCAGACCAGGCATTTGGCTAGTTTTTATTTGTACTTAAGAAAAGTGGCCTATATGAAGCTTATCTGGTTCTCAAAGTATTAAATTATTATTAAAATGAGCATTTTCTTAGTGATTAAATTTGAAAGAGGGTTTCCAAAATATTGTCCTGACTTAGTAAACCCAAAACACCAGAAAAAGACATGAAAATGGGATATCTGTAAGTTTTTCTCTACAACAGCTTGATGTGATTAAAGTCCAGCAAAACAACAGGGCAGACAATAGAGTGTAGTGTTTAGCTTTGTGACTGATGGCTACGGTCTTAGAAAGCTGTTCTGAAAGGTTTTTTTTGTTTTTTTTTTTAATAAATACAGACTTTCACTTTGGACTAGTTGCCTTTCCAAAAACAAGAAGTGTGATTTTTAGGAAAGTTCTTTGATCCCACAGAAAATATCTTTTTAGTGGTCATGCCCTAGGACTCTCCAAAAGAGTAACACTGTCTTTCCATCAAGCAGATGCAATATTGTGAACAGCATGTTCTGGAACCCCTGAACAAAACCAGCCCCTGGCAAAACAGTGGAACTACCTGATCATGTATTTCCAGGGTCTGATCAATCCCAAGGATGACCTGATAGGCCAGCCTAACAGCCACTGGCTGGCTGTGTGAGTTTTGCTGTAGCCTGCTCATCACCTCTGGGATTGTTACATGTCAGTGGCTGTTACTTTACTGACTGAAACACTGGACAGAGAATCCTCAGGGAAATATGAATTGAATAACAACTGGTGGTGAATGCAGGCATTTGGAAAAGAGCCTAACCTGCCTTGGAAATACTAGATCAACTGATAGCTGGATGTAGAGGTTCTGAATTGGAGATTTTAATTAGAAATACATATATCTAAAAGATTGCTTGACTTTCAGAATACCTGCTTAGTATAGTAGTGTTAATTTGTACAGGATTTAAGACTAATGTTTTGTCTTTCCTGGCTCATAGAAACCAACAAACGGCAATATTTTTTCCATTTTTACCTTTTTCCTTTTGGATTAGCATAACATTGAAACTCAACAGAAAAATGCTTTGAAGTCAGAATATTTTGCCCACATATAATTGAAAAATATATATAAATAACTGAGCCCACCAAGTTTCATGTGATTTTCCCAAAAAAAAAAAAAACCCCGTATATTCTTCATCTATAACCTGAAAGCTTGCTTGGCCAGTGTTTAAATAAATGGCTTGGGTTGCTGGCACCTTGCTTAAGTCTGCTTCCAAGTACATCTAGGTCCTGGTGCTATAAAGCTGAAAAGACAGACAGAAGCATTCATTTCACTTGCTCTGTTTTCTCATTTCATCCTTTCAAAAACTCAGGTTATGTCAACATTTCTAAGTAATTCTGCACAACAAAAGCAGATTAATAAACCAAAACACTAGGTACTGAAGAAGTATTACATTATATGCATTTCAGGGTATTTTATTTCACACTAGTCATGTCCCACAGACTAAATGTCCTCATCAGATCTGTTTAAGTCCATTCAAAGAACCAATGGCTGGCTTGGATTTTTATAACATGATATAGAATCAGAGTGCCCTGGGGCAGTGCTTCTGGGTACTTTCTTCTGAAAAAAAGTCTGGTTTTGCAAGCATGCCTCTGTACATTGGATCTATGCACCACAAATGAGGGTAATTAGGGATTTTTTTCAAACTCTGTTAACACTCAAAACTAGAACCGTAATGTAGTCGTAGCCATTAGAGATCAAGAGAGAGGTTTCTTACAGGCATAAAAGGTTGCTCATATGGAAAATGAGTAACGTAAACAGTTTAACTAAACACCTACAATTGTTTTAAATCAAATGCTTAACTAAGCTGGTGTTCTTAAAGTTCTCCTGTGATTTATGCAACAAAAAAATCAGTGGAACTTCAGATAAACACAAAACCTGCTCTACCTACATTAGGTTTTAGCCAATTTTCCCTAGCTCAAAATAGAGAAAATTGCAAGCACCACTTGGCATGAACTGTATGAAGTGCTCCATCCTAACTTACAGTTGAAATCACTATTTCAGCAAAAGTGAGCAATTCTGCTACAGAGTCATAATATACTGTCTGATTTTCACCCTGAATACAGCATTTAAGAGATCTCCTTAGCACAGTGAGGCAGGCTCCCCCTGCCTACACACTCTTGGGCTTTCTAGACATACATCTGCAGATTTTCTGGTGGACAATCAGGATGCGGAGACAAAAGGACACATCAGAATACAGATTTTTTGGGTTGTGCTGTTTCACAAAGAACAACTCATCCAGCTAGAATGGTTATGTGTGTACCAGCAGAAACTGCTTGCCAAGGAATCTGCAAAGAGAAGTCCCACTGAACATACTGTGACGAATGTTTCCTCTCCTGCAGAGAGATTTTGTCAGGTCACGGGCACGGTGAAACGACAGGAAGAAAGGTGGGACTAAGGCCAAATGGAAAGTCAGTAATTTTTTGGGCTAAAACGGTCTTTGCTTTATTTCTCTTTTCACAAGATAAACTGAGTCACTGCATTTAACTTAAAAGAATGACTGGCTCAGACAGTGGTTCTGCTCAAGTAGGAGGAAAAAAAAAGCAAAACCTTTTTGCTTTTGTTCATATGGTCAAAGGCAACTTCAAAAAACTTAACCCTCAAAATTCCAAACATCACAATACAATTAAAAATAACCAAGATTACTTTTCATTGTAACATTCTGGATCATACATATAGATATATGAATGTGCACACCAGTAACTTTCACTTGTATTAAACAGTTGAAAAAGTTTCAATATCAAAGTCAAATGCAATGAGTGGACAGACATGTTCTATGCTATATGCTTCTTCATCTGTACATCCTTGCTACAAACAGCTAATTCAGCAATTGATAGGAAGCCTTCACTTAAATAAAGTGCAAACATTATGCTCTGGGAAGCTCTGGGGGATAAGCGGGAGCCTGAAATAGGGCTTGTCCCTTCTAAACCACTTAGTATGGACTGAGCTGAAAATGGGTTAGTTTGGTGAACCAGTAGAGGAATCTTATTTGCTGACACCCCCAGGGCTCTTGAATATTGCTGAAGTATTACCATTGCGGAACGATGGTGGAGTATCTTAGTGCCAGAATCAAAAGGCTGAAGTCTAGTCCTGTGCACAGGAGTAGCTAGATCTGCTCTCCATCCTTCTGTCATTGGAGCTGGCAAGAGCACTGGAAGCTCACAGCTCCCTGCTAAGCTGCACAAATATACAGGGGATGGCCCTCAGCCATGGTGGAATCCCATTTCCTCCAGGTGAAGCAACTAAGTTATTGCTGAGCTCCAGGCATCAAAGCCTGAGAATTCCTGGGTTACACAGGAAAGTGGTTTGCTGGTAAGAACGTCCCTTGCACTATTCAGTGTGGCTTTACTATGTTATAAAAGCAAAAAACTAAATGCTAACAGTTTCTGGAAACCAACAGCATCTCATTTAGAGCTAAGTGCTTTACAGCTAGCATGCTCATTTGACATGGATACTTGAAAATGTATCTAGGAGAATTACTGGTTATTTATAGGAAGGAAACCCTATTTTCAGGAGAAAAAAAAAAAGAATTTAAGAAAATTACCTCCTGACAGCACTTTGCTGTGTTTTAGCTTGAACATATTTATTCTATCAGGAAAGCTTTCGACCTTTGTCTAAAGTGCATCAAACCTGATGAAAAGATACACGCTCTATGTCATGGCTGAACCGAGAACACTTCCTTGTAACTAGCTCTTTTTTTTTTTTTTTCCTTTTACAAAAGCCTACTGTTCTGATTACCCAGTAAGGCAGTACAGCCAAGATATAAATTACTAACTTATAATTTATACACAAGATCTCTTAACAGATTTCCAGAGAAATTATATCCTGATAATTTTATGCACGAAAAACTATTATCACCCCTCAGGAAGCTGAATATTAATGTTTTAGGGTTACTGGTTTTTTTTGTAAACACAAATTTATTTGCAAGTAAATTATGTGAATTTAGACAGAGGCAGATAACAACTGTGCAACTAAATATACAAACCTACTGCACAGAAGCCAATGCAGTCTTTTTTATGTAGCCTATTAAAAGCACTCATTGAATACTGAAGTACCCACTAGATTTTAAGTAAGTGGAATACAGGCAAAGTATTTATTTCTTGGCTGTCTAAATACACTTGGCTTTTAGAAGTGAGTGGCATTCAAATAGGACTTGCTCTCCTGAAGCACAAGCCTCTTTTTCTCCAAACTAAATTAGATAAGACAGAAGTGTTGAAGTTTTTTCCACGTGAAAAATTAGTGTCTTTATTACAGCTGCTAGCTTTCTGTATTTGATAGACTTTATAATTATAATCTCTTAGATATTTATCTTGGTGTTGTAACTTCTTTTATTTTTTCTCACACTTGTGTTCTAACAAAGACTAGATCCAACTTATTTCCTGTCCAAGCAGACCTTGCCTAGCATAACCACACAATACATTAGAGTCTAAGGTAAATTTGGCATTGCTGATAACAAATAGGCATCAGTCTTTCTAAATAATAAATTAAATTGTAATTAATTTTCACTTATGATGGAAATAAACCTTACTTATGAAGAAAATTATACTGTGGGAGCTGAAAACTGTTTAATATAACAGGGATGGATAGAAATCTACTGATTTAAAAAATATATTTAGACTACTATGCAGCTCATTTTCAACTTGAACAGTAAGTCTATGCATTTCTAACAAGAATCTCTTTTCTGCCTTTTACCAAATTATGAATTATATATCTGCAATACCTAAACATCCTGTTTCAAGTTGTGGTTAAAAACTTTGCATGGCCTTAGAAATCATGTTGTGTCATTTACAATAATACCTGGAAATTTTGTTGCACTAATTACAGATATGTATCTTCTTATCATTTAAAATTTGCTGGCAAAAGGTATTTGGTAAAATCTTAAAAAAAAAAATCTCAGCAGGATAGACAGCAGACTTTATAATAAGCCACTTCGTATTTGGAGGGCTACAGATCAAAAACTTACAGGCTGTTGGACATCTATTCTTTTGCATATCAGTTGTTTCCAGTTGGACTCATAAGACCTTTGTGTTTTCTCAGTTTGGAATTCTACACTTTAACTGGGTGTTACCAAACATTAACAAATCAAAATACTCTTCTTACCAACAAGAACAACAAAAATGTATGAAATTTACACAGAGAATGATGACTTCTGTCACTGGAGTCTAAACCTCCTTATTGACTGTTAAAATAATTAAAATAGAATACTGTGCCAGTGAGTGTACTTCAAGTTTTAGGAAATGGATAGATATGGCTTCTGTTGCTAGATACTAAAAGGAGGAAGAAACAGTTTATATTTGTAAGTGAAGACAAGCTTTGAAATTATACTGCAATGTCACACCTGGCACCAAAATCTTTGTTTCAGAGATCCTGGCTGTATGACACTGGGAAAGGCCAGGAACTTCAGAAGTTCTTTCCTAGAGATTTTGCATACTGTTGTACTAGCATGTATTCTCTTCTTCTAGGTCAGTGAGTCTTCCTTATCTCTCAGTGCTTACACATGAGAATCCACTCTTGGAAGTCTCTTCTTTCTTTCCACTGCAAACCAGAAGACACAATTTGCCACTTGGCATAATCCTTTTGACATTTTCCACCTTCCTGCTCCTACTTTTATTTTTAAACTGTTTAAGGTAGGGTACTTGCATGTTACACTGTTCTGCCTCTCAGTCATGTCCCCACCTACCCCTAAAAGATTTATGAATACACTAAGCTAATATCAATTTTATTTGACAATTGAGTAAAAATGCAGAGATTGAGTCTGGTGAAAACAGTTGTGTTTATAGAGGCAAGAGACACCAGAAACACCTGCATCTGAAGAACACAATTTTTGCCAGTCTTTATGTATCAGAAAACTGACATGCAGGAGAACCATAGGAAACACTGCTGTGCTTGCTCTGCTGCCCACAGGATTATTTGTTGTATCGTAGATGCTGGAGGTAAAGCTAGGGTAACTATGGGTTTAAACCTGAAAACGCAGCACTCTTCTGAGATAGTAACAGATTCCATCATGGTGCATGGTCCATATGCTCCCAAAGTGGTAGCTGGGAGGAGATGCTTATTAATTAGGCACATCATAACAATCTGCAATTTAATAGGTTTGTGTTATGTAGCAGTTTCTAAGAGTACATCAATGGTCGTCTACAGATTTTTGCATAAATCTAAATAATTTTTCTCCAGGAAACTCTGCTTTACAGGTTCTACCAGCAATTTTTTTCTCCTTTGCATTGAGGACACCTGCAGTGACAAATTACTATATCACACGTGAGTTCCACATCAACGACTACAAGATGCACTATTAGAAAGTCCATAGCGTACCGCAGTAATGTATGTTTATTTCATATCACCAAGTGCTGTCTTTGATCACAGAGACCTCTATAATGGAGCATTTGGAAGAGCTGTTGGAAATACGTGTTGTACAAAGAAATTATTTAACTCAGATTTTTCGCAGTAAAACAAATTGGATTCAATAGAATGTATTCTTAAATGTCTGCACGAAAGGGTCAATCTGCAGATTTATTTCTTATGCGTCACTGGAGCCCTGTGGTGGTGTTCCTGTTGGGATGGTGTTTCCTTAAAAGCACAACCAGGTGACAAACTTTTAGCATTAAGCATCTATGCTAGAAAAGCCTCATGACTTTGCCACCTAACACCCATTTTCTTCATGCAGGAACACATACATGAAGTAAACACTGGGACAATGGAAAGACCACTTGAGGCTACCAGGATGGAAAAATCCACTTCCGCCTGTGTTCTCATGGAAAGAAAGACTCATGTCAAGATTAACAGGAAACAAGTCATGCTAGCTAAACTGAGGAAGAGCTGCTCCTGGACTCCACAGAAACTGAAGAACTTTCTCATGGACTTCCTTCCTGTTTTACGATGGCTTCCCAAATACAAGTGCAAGGAGTACATTTGGGGGGACGTTATGTCTGGCTTAGTGATTGGCATCATTTTGGTGCCCCAAGCAATTGCATACTCGCTGCTGGCAGGTCTGAAGCCCATTTATAGTCTGTACACATCATTCTTTGCCAACATCATCTATTTCTTAATGGGCACATCCCGTCATGTCTCAGTTGGCATTTTCAGCTTGATAAGCTTAATGGTAGGACAAGTTGTGGACCGAGAACTTCTCTTGGCTGGGTTTGACTTGAATGACGATGCCTCATCACCCTTGGGGGATGGCTCTCTACAGAATGACACCCAGGCCAACACAACTGCCTTCAACCTCACAATTGCAGGGATGAATGCTGAATGTGGGAAAGAATGCTATGCTATTGGCATCGCTACAGCCTTGACATTTGTAGCTGGAGTGTATCAGGTAAGTTCTTGCTGACATCCAGAGGCAAGGTATGAAGTTCCTAAAGCTTATTTGCAGGGCTTAAGCTTTGCTTCGACTCCCTTTCAATGAGAGATGCAACACCAGTTCACTTGAATGACCCTGAACTGTTTCCTCCAGGAAGGTTAACATAGGCAACTCAGAAAATGCATGAGGTAGGCAGTTTCCTTGGCTATTAGCAGGCACAGGTCTTTCTGCAAGTCTTTCTGCAAGACCATTAACACTGTTTTGATGCCCTACTGCATCTTGGTCTTGCTGCCTTTGTGGGAGCATGAATCTAATACAGATCTTACCATGAGGGAAACTCACAGGTAGCTGTGTACTTCAACAATGGAGAAATAATTCTGGTTTCTAGACACTTTATTAAAGGTGCAGACCCACTTGTCTACTTCTACACAGGTTCAGAATGTGCTGCTGTGTTTTGCTAATGTGTAAGAGGTTCTACAGAACTGCTGCCCGAAGATAATTCAGAAGCAGAAAGGACAAGAGAGTAAATAGATTGAATAACCTACTTTTCAGACAATACGTGTGCTGGACGTTTTGAGATTTACCACTATGCTGCCTATCACAAAGGCAACAAGAGAACACAGAAGAAAGCATGACAAACATACTTACCTAGTAATCGTATAGATTTATATTTATAGATTAACTAAGAAAGAGCTAGCTATCTTCCTTTTTACTAAGGTCACATTCATGAATACCAAAGTGCCCTTGTGAAGCTGTACTTTCCAAAACCATCAAGGGAAGACAAAGCAACTAGCTATGCACAATAACCTGGGAAAGTTTGTGATTTCTTCTGACACTTCTGACCTTAGGCATGCCACAAAGGCTGTCAGTGCTCCACTTTCCCTTCTGTTCACAGGGCTAAAATTACAAGCTGTTTTATATAACAGCCACTTCAGTGCCAATAAAGTAGGCACTTAGCTGTTCTTATTCAAGTTGGCACAACCCTTAGCTGTTGTCATTCTAGTTCTCTTTACAAAAGAATGGCCATTAAGGTTTAACTTTATTCACTTTAAGACAGGGAAAATAAAAGGAAAATTGACTTTGGTATAACAGAAGCATTTTTTGATCCACTGATTTTTACACTGGAAATAAAATTCAGACTTCAGAGGAGTCACTTCAGAAAAATGCTTGGCTGACCCTGCCTCAAACTCCTCATTCACTTCTTGGGTTTGTAGTATCCCACCACAGTAGAAGGAATCACATGTTTTAAAAGCAGACTGGAAACATCAAGAATAATTCCTGTTTTGGGACTCAAAACTGTCAAATGCTATCTGCCTCCAGCTAGTTCTCTTCCAAGCTAGTTCTCTTCCATCTTCACGTAATTATTTGCAGCACCATTTAAGGCTCATCTGTTTTGTTCGTTTGTTTTTTGTGTCTCCTCAGGTTTTAATGGGAATCTTTCGTCTGGGTTTCATATCTATGTACCTATCTGAGGCTGTTCTAGATGGCTTTGCAACTGGTGCTTCCTTAACCATTTTAACAGCTCAAGTGAAGTATCTGATTGGAATAAAAATCCCACGTAGCCAAGGGCATGGGATGCTTGTTATTACCTGGATTAATGTTTTCCGGAACATTTCTCAGGCTAATATTTGTGATGTCATCACAAGTGCTATTTGTATCCTGGTGCTGGTTACTGCTAAGGAACTGGGAGATCGGTATAAGCATAAGCTGAAATTTCCTCTTCCCACAGAGCTAGTAGTTATTGTTGTGGCAACACTGGTGTCACACTATGGGAAGTTAAATGAAGTGTATGCATCCAGTGTTTCTGGAGCTATTCCTACTGGATTTATTCCTCCCAAGGTACCACCTTTCAACTTAATGCTCAGAGTCGCTGTAGATGCTTTGCCTCTTGCCATAGTCAGCTTCGTCTTCACTGTATCCCTTTCTGAAATGTGCGCAAAGAAATATGCTTACTCTATCAAAGCCAATCAGGAAATGTTTGCCGTGGGGTTCTGCAACATCATTCCTTCTTTCTTCCACTCTTTTGCAACCAGTGCAGCTCTGGCGAAAACACTTGTCAAAACATCTACAGGCTGCCAGACTCAAGTCTCTGGAGTAATTAGTGCAATGGTGGTTTTGCTGGTGCTGCTCTTCTTGGCACCTCTCTTCTACTCCTTGCAGAAGTGTGTCCTGGCTTGTATCATCATTGTCAGCCTCCGAGGAGCCCTGAGGAAGTTCCGAGACGTGCCATCCCGGTACCATATGAATAAGGTGGACACATTTGTTTGGATTGTTACCATGTCTGCCTCTGCCTTGATCAGCACAGAAATAGGGCTGTTGGTTGGCATTGTTTTCTCCCTGTTATGCATCATTGTTCGGACACAGAGGCCACGAACAGCCCTGCTTGGTCAGATCCAAGACACCAACTTTTATGAGGATGATTTAGAATATGAAAATCTCTCTTCTGTTCCAAAGATCAAAATATTCCGTTTTGAGGCCCCACTTTACTATGCAAATAAAGACTACTTCCTCAAGTCTCTGTACAGATTGACTAACTTGGATCCTAACCTCGAAGTTGCTAGAAGGAAGAAATATGAGAAGAAGGAAAAGCAGCATCTGAAAAAGGGAGATCACACAACTCCTAATGGACTGGGCACTGGAGAAACCACTCTGCAACTGGTTCCTAAGCAAACTGACTTCCAAGCCCTTGTTGTAGATTGCTCATCCATCTTGTTTTTGGACACCACTGGAGTTAATACTCTAAAGGAAATCCTGAAAGACTACAAGGTCTTAAACATTTCTGTTCTCCTGGCTTGCTGCAATCCCTCAGTGATAGACTCTCTGAAAAGAGGAGGTTACTTTGGGAAAGATTTTGGCAGCATGCAGGAAATGCTGTTCTACAGTATACATAATGCTGTACAGTTTGCAAAAGATCAAAAGCTTCCAGAAGATTGCTCAGTTTAATCCTGTGTCTTCCCTAACGACTCACTACAAAAGTGACAGAGAGGGGCAGTTTGCAATGATTAAATTACCAGACACACTGTTCACTGTGTACAGCAATGGGTGTACAAGCCACTCTGTTCTGAAGAGGTCTGCTGTTTGTCAGATGCTACACAGAACAGCCACTGGGGATGCAGTGGAGGACCAAGATGGAACAGGTTGGATTGTCTTATCTGCACCTTCACTTTAAAATGCAGGTGGTGTGCAATACGGCAGTTTGGGATTGACTGCCCCCTTGTGCCATGAATGCGTGTGACTCAGCATATACATCAGGAGACTGCCACACTGGAAGGTCTGCCCAGTGCCAGCTGACAACGTTTCGATGGCTGGTGTGTTTTAGGAGGGCTAAACCATTTCCATGAAAATGCAATTAATTCAGCATCTTGGACCTAACAATTTAAATTCCATCTTGCAAGGTCTTGCCCCTTCCAGCATTCTAGGTGTGCTCCTGAACAACTCCCACTGTTTAAGTACAAATAAAATGCATAAAATATTGTGGACTGTAGCATGTCTCGCCACCTTGATTACATAGGCTTATACAACCAGCCAAAAGAAGAAACCATGATCCATCACTGGTTTCTCTCAAAACCATCATTTCCAAAAAATTGCTGCTGGAGTCACTTGTGCTATTGGCTTCCATTTGTGGTAATTAGTTACTAAAGGTTGTGAAACCCCTAATGATGCTGGAAGAACCATGACTTTGCTGCACAATTTTGTAACTTTTTTTAACTAGTAAGGGGATAAAGAGAAAAATTAATGGTTTTACCTGGCAGTCACACAGTTACCCACACCGTTGTACCATCCCGCAAAAATAAGTTGCCTTTGGTGGGCACATGCAACTCCAGGGACAAATGAGGACTATCAAACATAAAATCTTAGAATTGTGATTCATCTTAGCATTGTTTTTTTCCTACCACTGGGTGCAAATAAAACAGGAGAAAAGAGGGTGAGGTGGGAAGGTAAATCTGTGATCTGCCTAAAAGGGGATTGATGGGTCAGTCAGAACTGCCTGGCTGGTCTTCTCTAACGAAGTGCTAATGAAGATTTACAGTAGCATACCTGGGCTAAGTAAAGGAAAAATTCCACCACTGTTTGTACATAATATAGATATTTACTTTTTTTTTCCTTCTATCATATTATTCTCTCATTTGAGTTCCACTAAACCATGTTTTACAGGGCTGGGTTACTTTCTAGCATAATTTGCATTAACTGTTGCTCATTCTGCTTTGTGTCAAATGATACCCCCAGAGTCAGTTGTGTTGTTACATATACATGTTCTCCATCTACAAATATGCATATATTTAGATTTTGATTGTAACACAGTTAGTACTCAGTGTTACAGCCTACAGCATTGGCAGAATATAGTCTCTCTTATTCAAACTTGTAATTACCTGCACAAAAGGTATGACAGCTGCCTTATCTTACTCTCCTTACTCATGGCTGGGTTCATACACAGCACCAAGCACAGAAGGGAATTCTACCACAGCTGTGCCTCTTACAAACAGCAGACTCTAAAATAGGTTCCATATATGCAAAAGCCATTTCTCTGCTGTGCCATTTAAAATAACAAGTCAGGTCAACATAGTGTGTGACTTGTTTATTCCAACTTTTCAGGTCACTGAATGGAAGAACACTCAAACTGAGGCTCTCCAGGTGCCCTACAGCCTGTTTGGCTCTCAAGAACAAATACTTTGTTAAAGTAAAATACAAAATAAAAAAACCTCTTCACAGGTATTGAGAATAACAGAAAATTAGGTAAGTGATTCAGTGCTGACACTTTCATGCACCCATTACAAAAAAGCCTATCAATCAGCTGCACATCATTAGTACTGCCAGAGCAGTAAAACCTGACAGAAATGTCTGTCAACAGATTCAAGGATTGAAGATTGGCAGCATTTTTCTGCCAAAAGATTTTAATTCCACTATTCTTTAAATCAGTGACATGGTATAACTAGCTTCTCTCTGTTAAACAAGCAAATGGGCAGAGCCCAAGAAAAGGTATTGCTTTGTGTTCGCTTTTGTTTGTAACAATTCTTTGATCAGGGAATATCTCTTTTAAGGTCCTGTTAGGGCCTAGCATGAGGAAGTGGGTTTGCAGGTGTTACTGCCAGACAACATCAATACAGACACTCTTAGGCTGTTAAGACAAAGAAAGCTGTTGTTGGAAGTCAAATAAAATTGTTTCAGTACAAAAGAACACATATCCTAGCAATCTAGACTTCTTTTACCTTCATGGATCAAGCAATCATCCTAGAATATAAAGGAAAAAAAGCAAAATACAGCCTTAACTCTAGATGATTCTCATTTTAAAAGACAGAGGGGAAGAAAAAAAGAGATTCCAGTGCTAACGAATGTGTATCCTTGCAACAGTCTGCGTAGAAATGTGAAGAGAGGCTGCCTTTCTCTTATCCAGCAGGCTGACAAATTGAATGTCAGAAGTCTCTTTTTCATCATATTTATTGTAAGAATGGTACCAAAGGATAGCCAAGCAGAGAAACTTCGCAGTGGGTAAGAGTGGGGGTAAGGTTTTAAGACTCTTACTAGGAAGACACACTAGACCAGAAGAAACCATAAAAACAATTTTATGTTTCTGTTTCATTGGCAGAGCTGACTAACAATTGACTTGTTTATGTAGGACAATGTCAAACACAGCAGGGAACAACTTTCAGTGCTATGATGTGGTGATGCTGGGAGATTATAAATTATTTCTAAGGAGTATGTAAAAGGTAACTAAAAAAGCAAGTGTTTTTTTTTTCTAGCACATTTATGTTTGCTATACTGCTTTACACAAAAATTAAGTGTATGAAGACTGAAGATGTTAAGACCTCCTGATTCTCTTCTATATTACCAGGAACTAGGTACTGTGACTTGGAGAGAAGCTGGGGATAGGCTTGTAATTCCAACTAGGTTAATACTAATGTTGAAATAAAATCATTATATGCCTTTTAGGAAAAGTTATATCCATCAGGTAGATTGACTATATTTTTGTTCACTGTGGTGCCTTGTATTAATCATGTATCCAACAAACTTTAGTACTGCTACATAAGAATAGGAAAGGGTTCTTGTGGACTGTGTGGGTCCTATGGAGCTGGGCAAAGAGTTGGGAATTTTCACCTCAAACTCTCCTGATGACTAGTGCAGCATGGCCAGAATGTGTGGTCTAGGTATCAAAATGTCTGTATTTACCAGCACTGGTAGCCAACAACCAGGGAACTGTCCAGTCCATGACACACACCTTGGGTTCCCCCATAACCATGAATGTTCCTGTGTCACATGACCTAGAGGTAAATGTGTAGTTCTGTTTGAAAAATAAAACCAGCAGTTCTTTGAAACAGTTTGCTTTGTGCTATACTTTCACAGATGGTGAAATACCAGGATAACTTGGAATAAAGAAAAAGGTGTTTGCTTACCTGAGAGCTACTAATTCCAATAACCAGTGAATTCGAACTTGTTCAATGCCACCATGTGGAACAGAAGAAATGTAGGCAAGGTTGATCTCTTGGTCTTTGCTCAGGTCAAATAGATCAGCACGGCTATGAGGTAAAGGCGGGCTTCAGGGAAGGAAGGACAGAAAAGAAACAAACTGTAACATTAACTAGTAGCTCCACTGGGTATCCAAGGATAGCTATGCTAGGTCCCTATACCACCAAAGATCACCCCAGGCTTGAGAAGTACTGTCTAACATAGACTCATAGAATGGTTAAGGTTGGAAAGGACTTTAAGATTATCTTAATAGAAACACCTCACCCTAGACCATGTTGCCCAAGACTTTATCCCACCTGGCCTTGAACACTGAGAGGGATGGAGCATCCACCAGCCCTCTGGGCAACCTCTTCCAGTGTCTCACCACCCTCACAGTAAAAAACTTTCTCCTCATATCTAACCTGAGTTTCCCCTGTTCAAGTTTAAACCCATTACCCCCTGCCCTATCACTACAGTCCCTGATGAAGAGTCCCTCTCTATCACAGTATCACAGTATGCTAGAGATTGGAAGGGACCTCAAAAGATCATCTAGTCCAATCCCCCTGCCGGAGCAGGAACACCTAGATAAGGTTACGCAGGAACGTGTCCAGGCGGGTTTTGAATGTCTCCAGAGGAGACTCCACAACCTCCCTGGGCAGCCTGTTCCAGTGTTCTGTCACCCTCACTGAGAAGAAGTTTCTTCTCAAGTTTAAGTGGAACCTCTTGTGTTCCAGTTTGTACCCATTGCCCCTTGTCCTATCATTGTTTGCCACTGAGAAGCGCCTGGCTCCATCCTCGTGACACTCCCCCTTTATATATTTATATACACTAATAAGGTCACCCCTCAGTCTCCTCTTCTCCAAACTATAGAGACCCAGCTCCCTCAGTCTTTCCTCATAAGGGAGATGCTCCACTCCCTTAATCATCTTAGTTGCCCTGCGCTGGACTCTCTCCAGCAGGTCCCTGTCCTTCTTGAACTGAGGGGCCCAGAACTGGACACAATATTCCAGATGAGGTCTCACCAGGGCTGAGTAGAGGGGAAGGAGGACCTCTCTCGACCTACTAACCACCCCCCTTCTAATACACCCCAGGATGCCATTGGCCTTCTTGGCCACAAGGGCACAGTGTCGGCTCATGGTCACCCTGTCGTCCACCAGGACCCCCAGGTCCCTCTCCCCTACACTGCTCTCTAACAGGTCGTTCCCCACGAGCACTCTTGTAGGCCCCCTTCAGATACCGGAAAGCTGCTATGAGGTCTCCATGCAGCTTCTCTTCTCCAGGCTGAATAGTGACAAATCAAAATGGGGTTGCAGGCTTTGTGCGGCTAGTTGGCTCTGCATGTAGTTTGGCAAAGCAGAACACAACTCCAGTCCATCTCACTGCCATGCTCAAAGGGAAGTATTACATGTAATGATTCCTACACAGATAGCAACCTTGGGCAGCAGTGGCCTGAAGAAGCCATACAGTGGCAGTCTTCTTGTCTCTGAGTAACTAATGATAAAAAACCTCAGGGTTTTTTAGGCTTTGGAGTGCAAGTCATACTTGCTGGAGTCTGTAGCAAGACAAATACGGACTTGATCTTCCTGCTGAACTCCATGTAACAACATCAATTCTTGCTCTGCTGTGGAAGCTACACTTGTAAGAAGCAGAATGAGACCTTCACTGCCTATACATTCCTTGGCCATGTTCAAAGCACTTAAAAATATCTCCCTGAGATTGCTTCAAGTCACACAAGCGAGACCAAGAAATTACCAATTCCACTCATACTAAAAATGTATCAGCTACATGGGGTTTTTTTAATTGTTCCAGTAGATAAAGACAATGTTAACTGTCAGGTTTTGAGGGAGTGCTAATCTGAGATTCAAATCTGCCTCAGTTCAAGCAGTGGCAAAGACAAAAGTGAAGGCATACGGCATTCACATATTTTTGCTTAGTGGACTCTGAAATTCACTCTAAGCGATACAGAAATCTAGCTGAAACCAAGAAGAGATACAAAAGAAAGATGGCAGAAGAGTGTGTTTTGTTAGTGGTAGCACCAGCATCTGTCCTTTTCTGTTCTGAGTAGAAAGTGCCCATCCAAGAGAACTTGCTCCCACTTGTTTAAGCCTTGCTCACAGATTTTATCAGCTACTGATCCATGGCTGTGCCTTTGCTCAGCTGTCTGAAACCATGACTAGAAAAGAAGTTTTCACAACTGGCACCCAGCTGTGTTACAATGTGAGCCTTCAAAAGACCTGGGATGCTACCTTGAGAAACACCAGTGCTGGCCAGGTATCATAACTGAACAGCTGCAGACGCATGGAGAGCCCCTGCCTCTGCTGCTCCTCCTCCACCTTCCTGTCACATGGTTTTCATGCTTGCAGTTTTCCAAAGTTTCTTTCACACAATTAAAATCACAGCTGTTTCTCAGGCTGCGGTTTGA